GGGTGTTTAAAGTGAAGAAAGACAACTTGGGAAAAGTGGTGAAGCATAAAGCTCGACTTGTAGCAAAAGGGGGAGAATGTGAGTGTAAACCTACTTGGGTGTGAACCTGCCATGAGTAGCTGTACCAAGAATTCACATTTGTTATCTCCAAACTCGGACCTGCTAACCAAGAATTCACATTTGTTATCTCCCATGCAGTAGGGACTCCTGGGTATTGTGATCCACTTTACGTGGACACTGGATTCTTGACAAAAGAATCTGATGTGTATTCCTTTGGAGTGGTTTTATTCGAAGTCTTGTGTGGAAGGCTTTCCGTAGCGAAATACGATGACAATCGCCGGTTTTTGCCGAAACTGGCACAAAGCTGCTATGAAGAAAAGAAGCTGCAGACAATTGTACTTGATTGTCTACAAGAGCAAATATACCCAGATTGTTTGGAAATATTCTCTAAAATAGCATATCAATGTCTACACAAAGATCACAATGAACGTCCACTGGTAGCTGAGATTGTAAAACAACTTAAAGATGCCCTCAAATGTCAAGTAAGCTTATACATCTTTCAGAAATAATACGATTTACTTATTTTGATATATTTGAAAGCTAATAAGCATATGCATATTCTGATTCTACATCTCATTTTCATACATAGGTGGAGTATATGGTTGAGAAGGAAAATAAGTTCATATTCAATGCAGCATTTTATGCTGAGGTAAATTTGCATATGCATGATAAGCTGGAACAGATGTCTAGTAATTTTGAAGAAGACATGGATATGCAAATCATTCAGCCTGGTGATATGTCGGAAGAGGAGTTGAAAGCATATGATGGTACAGATCCTAGGAAGCCTGTTCTTATGGCGATCAAAGGTCAGATATATGATGTATCATCATCCAGGATGTTTTATGGAGCAGGTGGTACTTATGGAGAGTGGAGTGGGAAAGATGCTAGTAGAGCCATTGCAAAATTCAGCTTTGAAGAGGAAGATTTGAACAGCGATCTCACTGGTTTAGGGAAGGTTGAGCTCGAGGCCTTAGAGGATTGGGAAATCATGTTCAGGAGTAAGTATGTTAAGGTTGGATCCATCAAAGATCCAAAGAAAAATCTGCCTGCTTGGATCTATCAAATATTCAAAGAGAAATCTGACTACTATAAAAACTCACATAGAACACGCCATATGGAACCCCGTTTTTGGGAAAATCAGGTTTTATTATATTGAAACCAGGTTTCATCCAAAGGTGAGTTATATGAACCCGCTTAAAGTAAGGAACTGGGCTATTGGCTGAACTAACAATGCAACCAGGTCTTTTGTCCCGGTTTTGCGAATAAAACCGTGTTTGGATCCGTTTTAAATCCAAAGAAAAATATGCCTGGTTGGAAATCTCACTGGTCTTGGAAAGCACGAGCTTCAGGCCTTACAAAATTGGGAAGACACATTCACGATTAAGTATGTTATTATTGGGGATGGATTCATTTTAAGGCTATTGGTGGCAGGTACCACAAGGAACACTGACCCACTTAGGCCACCCATGGCCCTTGCAAAATCGACCACCACCGGTCTAATTGGCATCCATTTTTTTCTCTTCTCTCCGAGCCGGCTTCTTCTGCATTCCTCTTGTAGCTTTTGCATTAGGTGTCAATTGTTCTTGATAACTTAGAAAATTATTTTATGGCTTCGTGTTAAGTTTTTGTTAAACATTAGAAAACTCAATAAAATTCTTTATATTTTTGATTCATAATCGATCTAGGCTTTATATATTTTTTATTTAATTAAGTCCTAAAAATCGATAATCATATCCATTTTAACCTTTTTAACCGGTCAACATATGATCACACTTTCAAAATTTATACTTTTGGCCAAATTAAAAAATTACTACAAATTTGATCCAAAATTTATATTTTTAGAGCAAATTTCAAAATTTTGTTTACAAATTCGTTCTAAACTTAGCTTTTTACATCTTTTGTTTTTTAAAATTTTGTTTCAAATATTTTTTTCGCTTTATAAAATCATATTTATACAAAAAAAAATATTTTTTTACATAAAAAAACTTCTTTTTCTTTATTCAAACATTTTTGTATGTAAAATACATATATAAAAGATTTTTTTAAAAACATATTTGCATGCAAAATACATATTTATAAAAAAATACTTTTTTTATTTTAGTTACCTATTTATCAAAACATACTTATGTAAAAATGTATGAAATAAACTTATGTAAAGTATGTTATTATACCAATGTATATCTTAAAAAACTTTTATAAGAATATGTATATATTAAGTACATAAAACAATTTGAGTGTTGATAAATACATAAGTATATAGAAATCCATTTTTATAAAAAATACATACAAACATGCATTTTATAAAAAATAATATATACAAACACTAATTTTATAATGAAAGCATTTGAGTACAAACACGTTTTATATAAAAATTAATATGTACAACCATGTATTTTATAAAAATGTATACCAATAATGAAACATGCTAGGATTCAAGTGTTACATAAACAATTTTAGATATCTGCAACATATTCTCACTGATGCTAGTTTTAAAGATATCGAAATTTATTAACACAATCATGAAAATGACTAAATCAAACTTTTAGTAAAATTAGTCTCTCAACGACACTAACACATAACATTCACACAATTATAGGCAACAACTCTATGATATTGAAATCTCATTTATAATAATAATAGTTTTGCGGCAATTCAAGCCATCATTTTAGTTAACAAATCTCAAAAATGGATTTACATCCATTTTAGCTACGATTACAATCATCACAAGATATTCATTATGCGACTTTAATTTTCTTGTTACTCAATATCACAAGAGACTCAACATGTGATGTATTTTGTATAATAACTTTATACCACTATACAAAATCTTTCTCTTTATTATCAACTAGGGAAGAACCACGCTTCGAGGGGTTGGACACGACAAAGAAATAGAAAAAACAGGAAGAGTATAAAATTACCCTCTCAGCAACAGACGCATAATAACATAATGAGTTAAGAAAAAAAAATAGTAATGATTCTTATTTCATCCAAATAATAAACATGTTTTTTTATAAACAATACCTTGTGTAAAAATGAATACAAAACATTTTTTTTATTTAAGTTGAAAAATAGAACACATATATAGAAATTTGACCTACAACATCATCCGTATATACAGTTCTACTCAAGGGGTACTTCACTATCATCTCTGTTTTCATCCCCGAAAGCTGATTTCTTCATCACATATTTATTATATTGATCTGATAATTAATAAACAACGAAAAAAACCAACCGCGGATTGCTTTCATACAATAACTAATATTCTAATAAACCTTACCCAAATAAGGCTTTCCAGTAGAAAAATGATTAGAATTCGCAAATGGGATGACTCAAAATTATCACTTGTAAGTAAGGGTTTGAGTTAATTACATAAAACAGAAAAATAACATCCTTGACCAATTAACCTGATTAAACATTAAAAAAAAGGATCATCTAAGTTCAAAGCACCTGAAAGTATTATCTGATTATCCATTTAATCTTGAAAAGATATTAAGTCGTACATAATTTTAGACAAAAGTAAGCTTAATTCCTACATTATAGTAATAATAAAAACAAATGTTTGTTACCATTGTTTTGAAGCTGCCCTTTCTTGTTTTCTACCTCTTCTTCATCCACTTTTTTGTACCTAAATAACATACATAATGCAGTCATAAGTGACATTTTTAAATAAAAAATATGAAACAAATAATCAGCCATGTAAAAGAAAGCTTGTTACCATTGTGATAACACGAACCTTGTATTCGGTTTTGTGGAGGAATCGAACATATTTTACAAAACAGTTGACATGTAACGATGCCTTCTGTGCATGCATTTAAGAAAAACATCATTTTAGAGCATTCTTTGAATCAGACATTTCATCAAACACTTGTCGTGCAAAATGAAATACAATTCCAAGTAATAAGCAATTAGATTAAGAAACTTATATCATATTAAATTAAAGGAAGAAAATCCAAATTTCAAAATTATTTTCAAATAAATAAACCGAAAAAGAAGGGAATTCCACTAAGGAACACTATGAAACTACTAACCATTTAAAATTGTAGTACTTGCGAGATTAGTAGATCACAAAAAAAAAAAAAATTAACTTACGAAATGAAGATGCAGCCGGAAACATCAGAAACATCATTTCTTGAAATCACCAACACAAGAATCTTCTCTTCCCTTCCACAATCCATTTTCTCTTAATTCAACAACTCCAATTCTTCTACTAACACACACACACAAATTTAGGACATCACCATAAAAAACAAAAATTAATCACAATATGATTAATGGTTTTTTAACATAATATGTGATAATTTCGTATAAAAATCACCTAATGTTGCTGCTCTACAATCATACAAAATCTTGAAATTTGAGTTTGACCTTTTGGATGACAGATCTTTTACTTGAGGTAAATGCAACAATAGTTGTTGCAACTCTCCAGATGCTACCATTTCTGCTATATTGCGAGTTGATACACATGCCTCATACCTACAGAACATAAAAGGGGTTATAACTTATCATGTAGAGTATATCATGGATTTAATGAATATTAGCCAGTTAGATATTGGCAAAAGAAAATGTTATGACTTAACATTAAAGATCAACAATCAGAGTTCTAGATCAATCAATTAGAAATCTGTTGCAAAGAGATAAGATTTGGCAAATAAAGTGTCAGTAGGTAAGTTGACAAGAGGAAAACACGTTATGGGTTGGAAATATCTAAAGTTCAACATAATCAATTGGTGCATCAGGATCAATTCTTGTATCCATCCTCAACCACCCCAATCAATGATATTCCCAAATAAACCTGCTTTCGGGTACAACCAAGACTTTTTTAAAACCAAAGGAAGGGGAGAGAATGAAGGCCAAGGTACAATCTGACTCCAAAATTCAAGATACGTGGAAGACCATATAACCTTTCATCACCGAAAATACTTGTAAACAAAGACGGAAAACAGAAAGAGTATACAAAAACTTAACCAGGGATGGCAGAAAATAAAGGAGGAGTTGATGAAAAGTCAATTTTCCAAACCAATATGGGCTCAATATGGAAACGAAGGTCTAGAAAAGACAACATACCTAAAAAAATATTAATCTCCAGTTAACGTCAATCGATTAGTCGGATCATTTACCTTGTGGTCAGAATCGATTAAATAAATGAGGAAGAGAACATGTAGGGTTCGACCAGACGACTTCCAATAGAGATGAAGGCAGAAGCACGATGTAGATGAAACGTGGGCACACGACAACATGAAGGCGATGTACTAACCATTTCAGTACGGAATTGATGTAGGCAATGAGTTCAAAATCCTGTAAGTTGGTGGCGCCACAGTCACACTCGAAAAAGATACTAACCTTGAAGCTAATTAGCCCTAACGGTGCTAGAGGAGTCGACGGGGTGGTGGTGGCAGATGGGAGTGTGTGACGTTGGGGCGACTGTAGAAATAGAAGGGTAAGAACATGAAGGGAATTCACAGGAGGCAGCGGGAAGGATCTGATGGTAGATAATTTGTTGGACGTCAATGGGAGGCGGAGCAAAGAGAAACGGTGGCGTGGGAATGTTTGTGAGAAGCAATCGGAGGTTTCTAGAAAGAATGAGAAACTGGAGAAGAAAAGCAGGAAACGATTCGTGGACGAAAGAAATCGAGGCAGTGATAAAAACCTGGCGGTGTGCTATTGGATCTTAGAGGCAGTGGAAAACACACGTGGTTGTAGTCGGTGGCACTATCTCGAAGTACACAAAAGAGGTAATCCACTATAATAATATCCAGATAAAAATATATTAATATCAAAAAGCAAAAACAGAAAAAAAAATCTAACCAGTGACAGCAAAGTACTGTTCCTTACGGAGTTCTAAATTAGTCTATATATATATATATATATATATATATATATATATATATATATATATATATATATATATATAATATAAGAGTTATACTAAACTTTTTACACTATATAGCTATGATATATTACTCAAAATATTTTACAACAAAATAGTTGTTATGTGGTTTACCATACTTATTCTCTCTACTCATTGAATATTGTTATGAATTCTTGTATTGTGACTCACCATACTTTATTATATCAATAGTTAAAATTCTCACTCTTATTACTTGACTCTTACCTTCATGAAATCATTCAATAATAATTATGGTATGAAGACCGTAA